CCCGCCCGCCGCGTCTTCACATGCGGCGGGCGCGGCGTGCGTGCAACATTGCGGCGCGCGGGCGCGTGGGGGCCTACAACCCTGTTGCCCGTCTTTGCGCACGCGGCATTACAATGGAGCAAGGATGACCCCGACCGCGGGTGCATCCAAAACCAGCCTGTAATCCCACACTTTTGTGCAATCCCCTGCGGCCTCGAACTGCAATGTGTTTTTTTAGGAACCTTCATGTATGTAACCGAACCCCACTGAGGCCGGCCCGTTGGGTCATGATACGGTTGGACGCATGGTGGTTGCTGGAGGGGGGCAGCCAGAGCCCTGCGTGAGCGATGGCTGGGGGCTATCACACGCACGCGCCCGGATGGGTGGTGGTGATTTTTGCTGGGTTTGCGCAGTACAGCTGAGGGGTCAGTGCAGGAGCTCTCGGCTGCTCTGGTTTGCCAAAGCGCTGTGCTTTAGGGTGGGCGGCAGAGCTCTGGGTGCACTTGTGCATGATGCATGCGTGTGTGGTTCAGTCACAAGTTGCTGCTTGCCAAGCACACCCAGTGGGTGTGTGGTGTGTGGACCACCTGCGGAGCTAGCTGCTCCCCTGCACAGGCTGTTCGACCTGTTTGACCGGGCTCTGCAGGGGTTGACCAGCGTCTGAACCCGCAGCCTCTGGGCCAGCAGGAAGGATTCGGCTATGTAAACCATGTGAACAGGGCACCAGTAAGTTCGCACCACCCTCCAGGCATATATGCTTACAATCGCAGGGATTTACTGCTGTACGCGGGATCTGTGGGTGTGCTGCTGGGAAGCACCTGAGCCGGGCCCTCTCCTTCACAGATCACCCACAGACTCACTTATCAAGGTGCATGCGTATGCACCGGCCAGGCCGCAACGGCCAACATCCCCCCCTCCCCGGCAGGGCCTGCAAATGCCTTCATGGCTCAACTATGTCGGAGGTCGATGCCCGCTCAGACCTGTCGTTTGTTCGTTACAGGGTCGGCCCTGGCCATTTGTTTTTGGGGCCAGCAGCGCTGCTCCTTGCAAGCATCGGGGCAGGGCCGCGCAGCCGTTGAGGATTGCAGACGCGGGGATGCCTGCACATAGTTGGCCGCACGTCCCCGCGCTCGTTTGTGTATGAGAGCATGAATGTGATAGGGGGCGTCGAGGGGAGGGGATGTGGTCGTGTGCAGAGTAAAACACTCACGGTGCAGCAAAGAGCTTTGCTGGCAGGCCGGCTATTGTCCAGGGGTGCGCGCCGACTCTCCATCGAGTCGCAGCAGCAGGGCGAGTCTTGACGCGCCCAGTAGGGGGACCCCCGCCGGCGGCAGCCGAGCGCCGCGCGAAAGGGTGAGCTGCATGCAGCAGAACAAATGTTGAAAAATGTGGAGTGGGGCCGGGCGAAAAGGGCGTGCGGGGGGCGCGGCGGCAGCCGGGCGCCGCGCCCGGCCGGAGGCGAGGGGCGCAGCCGCGGAGCGCTGCACCGCCGACACCGCCGCAGCCTGGCCCTGGGGCAGGCTCCAGCGCGCGACACCTGGCCTTCGGCGCCCGGCGCGCGCATTCTCCCTCGACGCGTTTGAAGCAGCGCGCGGCACTGCAGCCGAGGCGCCGGGCCGGCGGCTCGGGGCGCCGCTCTCCGCGAGCCGCGGTGCCCACTGCCAGGAGTGCACAGTGAGCAAAGCCGTGAGAGGACAGATTGAGATGGCTCCATGTAATCAGGAATAATGTAATTAGGAGAAGGGACGGGATGACGAGGCGCACGGCCATGCCACAGCAAGGGCCCCACGCACCCACGCGGCCGCCCGTGGTGCGCACGCCCGATTAGGGCCCCCTGCGGGCGCCCCGCCCGCAATTCCTTAGTTCTGCTGTGGCCAGCGGGCCGGCCCCCGGGGGGGCGCCTCGCGCGGGTGCGTCCGCGGGGCCCGCCCAACGGCGGCGGGGCGGAGCGCGGCTTTGCCGTCTGGGGGTGTGAATAGAGGGCTTGGCGGCATGCCGCGCGGGGAGGGACAATAAACCTACTTCTGTCATAGCACCACAGCCATGAGATCCCCCGAGTGATTCTGATGATGACCAGAGCGCCTGAATTTCCCGTCGGCTGTACAGCAGGCGACGCGCCAGCCAGCGGCGGCCGGCGGGCCGCGAGTGCAAGTCCACTGCGGCACACGCGCCGGCGGCCAGACGCTGACCGGGCACAGACCCCTTCCCTTCATCCTTTCAGCCCCCATTCCTCCAGCTGCAGCGAATGCCGGAATCACAACGGGGGCCGCCCGGGCCGCGCCGTCTCGTCAGTCGTGGAAGTTCTGGTCGTCTGCCTGGGGGGCTGCGGCGCGGACTGTGACGCGTATCTGCTCGTCGGACTGTGTTTGGGGCCGTTGGGCTGCCAGGTAGCGCGCGTTGAGGGAGAGGGCGGCCGGGGGGAGGTCGGTTAGGAACCAGGGGTCCTGGGG